CATTGCTCCCGTGAAGCCGTCCCAGTCCTTCATGACCTCCCAGCTGGAAGCCAACAACATAGAGGAGCTGAAGGAGGTGGCCAAGCGGCTCAGCCGGGACCAGCGCTTCCGGGAATCCATCTACCACATCATGGCCACCCAGCCTGCAGCTGCCTCCGTGCCTCCCTGGGGTGGAAAGTGACGGGCTGCGGAAGGAGGCCCAGCTCCGTGAGTGCCCTCCAGAGGGCGGAGCGGCTCCCTGGGCACCACCCACACCCTGTCCTCCCCTGTGCTTCCACCTGGGTGCTGCCCGGCTGTCGCAGTGAGAGGAGGAAGGGCCTGGCTGAGTGTGACTTTGGTTGGTCAGGGAATGGGGTGGGGAAGCTGTCTCTCTGGCCATGGACCGCTCTCTGGAGTCCCCAGGCCCTCTTCACCTCTGCTGTCCTGTGCCGGTCCTCATGTGTGACAGATGGCTTCACCTTCAAAGGCGGGCACCCCCCTCATCTAACTCCCCTCTTGCCCAGCCTTTCCTACCCTGCATCCCGTCCTCAGAGCCATCCCTAACCATGGCCCCCACGTCCTGGGAAGAGAAGGCCCTGGGCAGTGCACTCCCCATACTCACCCTGGCTATGGGACCCTCGCTGGCTCCCTCCTCCTCACATGTGTTCACCACATGCCGTCTTGGCGACCTGCAAGAGGAGGTGTGAGTCCACCATGTGCCTCCTGGGTCCTGGCTGGGGCTGGGGCCAGCAGCAGCAACTCTGGCTGTCCCAGAGGACATGCGGGACAGGGATCAGGTGGCTGTCCCTGGCTATAGTGGCCCTGCAGGTTCGCTGTCTCCTTCACCCAGTGATGCAATGCAACTGTGACCCCCCCGCACTTGGGAAGCCTGGCGTTGGGATAAACCGGTACCACTGGTGGGCTCAATGTCATTTGGGAGAAGCTGTAGCACCCATCTGCAGTTTGCCTTTGGGAGGCGGAGGGCTGCAGATGTGTTCCTCACCTGTGAGTCTTCCAGGCCCACCCTCTGAAGCCATCTGTCCATTTCTCCAGGAAAGGGACCTACCCGGGATCGGGGAGTTCTGGGACACTGGTGGCGTTAAAAGTATCGATTCTCTACTCTTCAGAAAACCGAAACTTTCTAATGGACGGACAGATGCTGTGGCCCTGGGCAATCCCAGCAGAAGACGCAGGTCCCTGAGAACCTGCAGCGTGTTCTGTGGATGAGGAAGGCAGCTCCTTAGAGAGCAGGCCCCATCTGCTACTCTGCTAGCCAAGGTGCTGGGCTGCCTTGCTCTGGGAGGCCTGGTGAGACGAACCTAGATGGTCCCTACTCAGGGATGGCAGTTAGTGGAACTATTGGGGGGGCCACTTTGGATCAATGCATTTGAATGTAAATGTAAACGCTTTAAATACGTATAAAGCTGCATAGCTTGGAAGATATTTATCTAATATGTATGTAGAGTGAACTTTCAAATAGGGAGGAAGACTTATAAAACCGAGATGACTGATTTTATTTTTGCTGTGCTGGGGATTGAGTCCAGGGGCTGCTCTACCATTGAGCTACATCCCCAACCTTTTTAATTTTGAGACAGGATCTCACTAAGTTGACCAGGTTGGCCTTCAATTCACAATCCTCCTGCCTCAGCTTTCCGGGTAGATGGGATTATGTGCCACCATGCCTGGCTGTTTTGAAAGAATTAAATTAATGATGGCTTCCTCTGAAGAAATATCTTTTGGAAATTTTCAAATGCATTTGTTTTTCCTGGGCAAGCTCTTAGCCAGGAAGGACAGTGCTTGTCTTAGTCCGTTCTGTCATGTTACCTGAAGCTGGGTAATTTATAAACAACAGAAGCATATTGGCTCATAGTTTTGAAGACTGAGAAGTCCAACCTGAAGGTATCAGCATGGACCTTCTCACTGTGTCATCCCATGAGGGCAGGGCAAAGAGAAGGCAGGAGAACTCAGCAGGGTTTTGTAAGTAACCACTCCCACAAGGAGCTCACTCCTGCAAAAGTGACACTCATCTGTTCCTGAGGGCAGAGCCCTGGTGGCCTAATCATCTCTCTTTTTTTAAGCACTTAAGATTAAACCAAGGGCCTTCATCCTGTTATATTCATACCTCTTTTTAATTAAAACAAAATTTTTTGAGATGGGTCTGTTTGGCCAGGCTGGGCTCAAACTTTCAATCTTCCTGCCTCAGCCTCCCAGAGCACTGGGATTACAGATGTGTGCCACCACACCTGACTTCTAATTATCTTAAGAGATAATTCTTTCTTTCTTTCTTTTTTCTTTCTATCTTTTCTTCTTTCCTTCCCTTTCCTTTCCTTTTTGTACCTGTCTGTTTTTATTGGATGGCCTCTCACATGCTAGGTAAGCGCTCTACCATTAAACTACATCCCCACCCCCCTTTTAAAGCTTTGAGGCAGGTTCTCACTAAATTTCCCAGGCTGGCCTGGAGCTTGCAATCCTCTGTTTCAGCCCCTTTAATAGTTGGGATTCTGGACACGTGCCACAAGCCAGGTTTAAAGGTCCCACCTCTTAATACTGTTTTAATGGCAATTAAATTTTAACATGAATTTGGGAGGGACAAGCAAACATAGCAGTGCTTTTCCATGCACATTCACCAATCCCTACTTCATTTCCTTGTTCTCACCTTGTACTTTCCCTGCCTCAGGCAAGCCCGAGTTATCTTCAAACAAGTGATCAATCCATGTTGGTTAAGAGCTCACTATGTACCTAGTACTGTACATAGAAAACGAGCAGCATTTCTATATGAGAATATGATGGGTAGAAATTTCTTGCTGGAGATATATTGATCTGATTTTTTTAAAAAAATTTTAAACCTAAACTATTACTCTTTAGCCAATTAAATACATTTCCTGCGATATTCCTTATGTATGTGGTGTGGTCATTGCTAGAGAGATGCTGCCCCCTGCGGGCCAAATGTGGAGTTACAGAATTACTGGCAGGAGCTCGGTCTCCTGCACGTTGGTACCCACGTTTCTCTACTTAGGAGGTTGAACCCCCACTGCTTTCCCTCCTGTGAGCGGCTTCTTAGTAATCAACTGAAAAATCTGGGTTTCCACCCCGAGGTCCTGGCTAATCCTGTGCAACAAAGACTATTGGCAGGATTTTCTTCTAACTTGGGCACAGACCAACGCTTTCCGGGCTGACTGTTCGAGTGGGACAACCTGAGAGAGGGAAGGATTCCTACTTTGTGGCTGCTCATTGTGGCAACCTCATCAGAAACCACATTTTCACCTGATCTGATGACACATTTACGCTTTTGTAATCTTATAAGGGAGAAACAGAAATCAGTGAGAAATGGTCCTAACTGGACTCTGCTGCTCTTTGGTTTCTTCACGGCAGATGGATGATCTAGTATCCTACCCAGGAGTCCAGGTAAATGCTGTTTCCCGGCATAATTAACACCTCCTTCTTTCCCCTCGCTCAGCAGTCACCCAGTTGTAATGCTCCCCGCGTTCTAAGAAGCACTCAGATTCTGAGCCCCCTCCGTTGGCCAGACCCCAGGAAGATCAATGGCCTCTGTCCCTCTCTGGAGTGACGGGCTTCTTGTCCCCAGTCCATCCATTCCATCCAGGTCCACATGACCCGAGCAGCCTGTATTTGGAGCCACAGTGAATGATGATAGAACAGAAAGATGCTTGATGATAATGCAAAACAGCCCAGGCTATCAGATGTGATCTCATCAGTAGGCAGTTGTTAAACCCAACAGGCAAGCTGGCCACGGTGGCGCACACCTGTAATCCCAGCCCTCGGGGCTGATGCAGGAGGGTTGCCAGGAGTTCAAGCCAGCCTGAGTTACATAGTGAGCTCAAGTCCAGCCTGAACACATAGCTACAGCTTGTCTCAAAAAAAAAAAAAAAAAGCCACATATAAACCCAGTGGACAAGGCAGCTTTCCAGAGCTCTTAGGCAAAGTCCAGCAGCCCCTGGAACCCTGTGCTTCTGTAGTCGGCCAGGATGAAGCTACTCAGATCCCCAACCCTTCTCTCGCTCCATCCTGCTTCTGGCCCGGAGTCTCACTCTGAACAGACTCGGCCACCCTGTGGGCCTGATAAAAGCTACAACTTGTGAGCTTTGGGGTGTGTAAAAGAACAATCCTTCCTTGGAGAGCAGCGCCTCCCCTGATAAGACCCAAGGGTGAACCTGTGGCCTTCTGCCCGCTGCTGGGGTGGTGGCAGGAAGATCTTCCTGTTTATATAATATTTTTATTAGGTAGGAAAAAGTCTCCAATCACATGAAGCTGCTGGGAAGAACCCTGGTGATTCTGGAGCTCTGCGATCTGAAAACTTATGGCCCTGGAATCAAGAGAAAATCGGCTGCTATAGCAACCAAGGATGGAGGACAGACAGGTCTGTGGGAGGAGGACACTGACTAGATAGAGCCGTGCTGCCCTCAGAGCTATGAACACAGAAAACGGTGGCTTTTAGATCCCAAGGAAAGGCTCACTGTGACTGACGCCACTCCCCAGGAAGGCTTTGCTGGGAAAGGGAAGGTGTCCACTGATGTCCACTGTCACGTTCAGCACGCTCCTACCCAACCAGTATTGGTGAATCTGTTGTGCGAAGCTGTCTTCTCCTTTCCTGGGTTTTTATTGTGGCAAAATGCACATAACATGAAATTTATTGCTTTAAGTATATGGTCCAGTGGTATTAAATATATTCATTGTTGAGCAACCATTCTCTAGAATTTTCTTATCTGGCAAAACTCAAACTCTGTACCCATTAAACAATAATGTCCCACCGCTAGCCTCAGGCCCTGGAAACCACTACTCTGCTTTCTGCCTCTATGAATCCGACAGTGTTAGATACCTCACAGAATGGAGTCATGTCATACTTGTCTTTTCGGGCTGGCTTATTTTGCTTAGTATAATGTGGAGGTTCATCTATGCTGCAGCATGATTCCCCTGCCCAGTCTTGTACCTGGCTGGATTTCTACCCACCTCAATCTTGTTTATTTTTGAGACAGAGTTCCCCATAGTCGAAGAGTGACCTTCAGTCAGCCTCTAGATTCATGATAATCTGACCCGCAGGTACATGGCTGGTACCGTGACCAGTGACAAGTGCCACGACAGTGCCCAGGAGAACCATAGCAGGATCAGAAAGGGGGCAGCACCTGAAAAGACAGGCTCTTCTTCCTCTTTATTAGCCTATCCCTCCTCTCATTGCCCTTAGCCTCTGTCTATAGCCCCTGCACCCCAAACTTGCCTTGCTCTTAGCCAAGGATAGACGTCTCCTTCACTTCTCAGTGCTTTGTCTTTGGAAAGAGAAAAAGAGCCCAGTTTGGGGTCACAAACTGGTAACACTGTTTTTTTCAGACAGGGTCTTGCTATAGTTCAGGCTGGCCTCGAACTCACTGCAATTCTCCTGCCTCAGCCTCCAAGGTCTGGGATTACAGGTGTGCGCCGCCACATCTGGTCTGGTATCACAATTTCTCTTTTTTCCTCTCCTCTCCTCCTCTCTCCTCCCCTCCCCTCCCCTCCCCTTCTTTCTTTTTGTACTAGGATTAAACGTAGGGGCTCACTCATGCAAAGCAAGTATGTTCTTACTGAGCTACACCCTCAGCCCTTTTTAAATTTATTTTATTTTATTTTCTTCATCTTTATTTTGAGACAGGGACTTTCTGCCTCAGCTTACTGAGCACTGGATTTCTTTCCTTCAGAAAGGGAAGAAATATTGTCACTTTTTTAAAAAGAAAAAACTGATGAGATCTTATTCTTCTGGCGTGCTGTTGGCCAAGGGCAAGGCCCCTGCCTGTCTTGGCGCAGTAGAGGGAAATCGGGTCCCCTCCCCTTCCAGGTTCTCCCCACCCTGTGCTAGGGACGCTTTGGTGTCACTTCTTCCTTCCTGCCAGCAGATGGCAGCATGCTCTGAGCCGGCTGCAGACTGAGGAGGGAAAGTGTGCTGGGGCTGCCAGAGTGGGGGGCTCAGTGCCGCTGCCCAGGGTGGGTGTGATCTGGGATGAGTGGGCTACTCGTTCTCCCCTTTAAGATGGAAACAACCCAGTCCGCTCCATCATCTGTCAAGGGCCCTTTATATCCAAAGCACCTCCACACTGATTTCTTTAGTTCTCACAGTACCACTTTGATTTATGAAAATGTAACAAAGAAACCCACAGAGGTTAAGGGACTCGGAGACGAGAATCCGGTTCTCTGAACTCAACTCCGGCGTTCTTCGTGCACACCCTGAAAAAATGTAAAACTTGTCAGTGAGTTTTCTTCATTCATTTGTTTAGTAAGTATATCACTGATCTCCTCTATTTCGGGCCCAAGAATTTCCACTCAGATCCCTTTTGTCATGCGGTTTTTATCCTGGGGGTGGAACTCAGGAACCTCACACTGAAATATATCCCCAGCCCTTTTTATATGTTGAGACATTGTCTCACTAAGTTGCTAAATTGCTCAGGCTGCAGCCCTCCTGCCTCAGCCTCCGGAGTGCCTGGGATTGCAGGTGTGTGCACCACACCTGGCTCTATCATAAATTCTTACCATACCAACTCAGCTCTCAGACAGCCTCCAGGGAATTCCTTTCTGTAAGTCATCA